AAATAATAATAATGTGTCCCTGGGTCAGTTTGGACTTTGGGCAACCTCTTCTCTGGGGTTTATAGGTACAGAGGCTCCAGAAGTGGGTCTCATGCCCTTCTTCTTGGGGGTGGGGGAAGACTGTGTCACCTGCCCCAGGCCACCTCGGCTGGCTCTTCTGGAACGCACCGCCGGGAATCGAACCCCCAACCTCTCCCTGAGCTATCCAGCACTTCCACCCCATAGCGTCCCTCAGTCACCCCTACACGGGTGTAACTGGGTTTTCGCGGCTCTGACGCTGAAGCCCAGCAGGAGCCGAACAACGCAGCCAGATATCATCATATCCGGGGGGGGGAGAGTGATGAAAGCCGGTTAACCATCGCTGGGGCCTAAAAGGGTTTCAACGGGTCGACTCTTGAGCCCACCTGGATCTCGCCCCTCGGCTCTCCCCCCCTCCCACCAGCGGGCATCCTTCGCCTGGGTTTGCGGGCAGGGCAGAAACCGGACCCCGAGCGCACAAAGGCAGGCAGGCGTCCGGGCGAGCAGCCTCCCTCCCCATCTTCCCTCCTTCCCTCCCGGCCTGCTCCTCCTCCCGATCGGGCGGAGGAAGAGGAGGAGGAGGAGGAGAAGCCAGCCAGCCTCCCTCCCTCTCCCTCTGCCTCTCTTTCTGCCGGCTAGCAGCAAAGAGGGATCGCCGGCCGGCTGTGCGCCCGAGGCTCGCCCTTCCGCGCCCGGCGCCTTTGCGCAAAAAGGCCAGCCTCTCCAGGGGCCCCGGGAGCGCATCTAGCATGAAGGGGCAATGGGAGTGCAATAGGCTGCAGGGCCATGCCTTCATTTATTTTATTTATTTTATTTATATGCTCTTTCCTCATCCTTGTGTTTCTCATTTTGGTTTCCAGTTGTCCAGGGCAAACTCCTGTGGTGAGGAGTCTACATTCTTTTCTGTTTTCAAAAATTTTTGGTCCTCCCGGCGGCGGCGAGGATGATGATGATGCCAAGGCGGCGGAGGTGATGCCGGCCAGGGGGGGAGGAAGAAGGCGGCGGCGGCGGCGGCCTCGCTTCCTTTGCTGCGCCTCGAAGCTCCGGAGCGACTCCGGTTTGGTGACCGCGGCGCCGGCGGCTTTGTCCGCGGGCAGGAGGAGAGGGGGGGACCCGCCAGCGCCGAGGCCGATCGCCTGTTTTTTCCTTCTCTCCGGGGTTATTTGCTAATTAGCTCATTAAAGCGACCCCTCCCCCGCTTTCTTCTATCTCTCCCCCCCCCAAAAAAAATCATTCCAACCCCGGTCCTCCG